CAATAAGCACACACCTTATTGCTTTTTAAAAATTTAGATTTCTTAGGACCTTTGGGGGTTTGGTTTGTGAAAGTAAAACCAAAAATTAAAGTGTCCCAAAAATAAATTGATGCTAAAGAAAGGAGACAAGAAATGTGTTTATAAATAAATTATGTTTTAATTTGGTCTAATACATTAGGAGACCCAACAATAATTTGTAATTCATTTAATGTGCGCACAGTGCAACATAATCTCTTCAATAATAAGTAATACTGTACCTGATTTAGTGGATAATGAATATCTATATCTAAATTTTAGGCTTGTGCAATGGGAGTTTGCTCAGTAAATAAGCCCGCTTTCAAACATGTATTCATTGTCCAACCTTGGTTGAGGTATGCTTACACAGGGGGTCTAAAGCCTATCATATTTCAGTTTCTAGGCTTGACTTCTCGGATCTATTTACTCTAAAGAAGTACACAGCATGCGCCTTCCGATGATGAATTTTGTACACAAATTGAAATCTTAATAACACATTAACATTTTATGAGTCTGATGATAATAATAATATAATAAGTATACACAGGCAGATAGAAATTTATTAGCACACGGAGTAAAGGACAATTACAGCATACTTTCTATTTACGACTAGTTTTTTTCTGCACTTGCCTTGGGCTTTGAGACAATTTGTATCTCTGCATCGTCTATTCCATTCCATTTTCCACTGTAGAGAATAATCTATTGAGAAGCTACTGATGGCTATAGGCTATATAAGTATTTAAATGATATCTTATGTCCTATATTACAATGCAAATTTTACTACATACAAGAATTCATTGCGTCTTCATTATACTTTCTTCAACAAAGGACATCAATAACTTATCACCATCCATTCCATTACTGCAGTTACTACACTAACCACAACATTCTTTATAATACCATAAGCAATCAGGAACCCTCTGTCTCTCTCCAGGAAAAGACTGGAAATGCTATGAATAAGCTGCATAATTGGCATCTCAACCAATTCTAAATGTATTTTTTCTTGGTAAATCCACAATTCTTTCAGTAACCGAGTCTCAATTAGAACAGCATGTTTTATAGTGACAATTATGGTACATGACAATTTATTCTTCAAAAAACAATTATAACAACAGGAACAATATCAACAGTATGAAATCAACAAGAAAAATATTCAGTAGACTTCAGTGCAATTGTAGAAAATTAGCTAAATTATATATTTCCTTTGAATTTTTCTCAATTTCCATACATTAATAACTTGGTGCAGTTTATACCGAGTTTCCATAGAATCTTGATTCTAACTATTATTGTGTATGGAATACCTGTGTAACTAATAGCAAACTAAATATAACATTTGTCTAACACATTATGAGAAAGAACTATAGTTTGAAAATACAATTGCAAATTCTTAAAAAGAAACTGGATATAGTACTGCTTAACCATTTCAACAATATCTCAAATGTTACATTAAAGACCTGTAATACTTACAGTATGTAAATTAATATTTATGATGCATTAAAAAAATAATATATTTTATCTTAATTTGTAGCATATAAATTGACTGAAAATGTCCATGAGGCAAGTTATATAAGTTATAAGTTGTTGACAACAGAGTCGGTTATTTTCTATTTTTTTTTAGATTATACTTTGTTTTATGTCTGATAACTGTTTCTGAAATAAAGTAATAACAATAATTACTTGTTTAATAACAATTGGCAAAGGCTTAGTCTGATATGAATTAAATTTCATATCTATCATATTTTCATTATATGAATTAACTAGATGCATTGAACTGTCTAAATGAATGCCATTTAGGTTTCAGCAAATTAACAATCAGACGACATAATTAGGGTATACACCTCATCCACAAACACATTCATAACAATTAGTAAAACTTCAAAACAAATTAACCAATCTTTATTATTTTCAGGTACAATATCAATGACTATAAAATAAGTATATAGAAAATAAACACCTTTCTTACTGTTACTATATATAATATGTGTCCAATAGAGTAACACAAGTAAACTTAAACAAATTACTTAAAATACACATTACTGAGAATTATAAAGCACAAAAAAATCTACAAACTAATATACAGTAGTACAGTAGGCCTACATATCACAGTACAGTATGTGTTATATTATACAATATAGGCAGGCATATATACATTAAATATACAATATAAAAAATGCATAATGCAGTATTTTACTGTATAATTAAAGTTCCTGCCTTATTATAATATAATTATAGTAATATTACAATACTAATTAATAGATTAATCACTATTATTAGTTGTATACTCATGTATAGTTCCACTGAAACCTTAGAATAATTGCAATAACCAGAGCTTTGTTGACATTTTGACAGGTAAAGGGCAGTGGACAAGCTAAAATGTGCATAGTCTTTAGAATCGTAGGCCTTATTGGTTTCCCTATGTCAACCTGAAGCCAAACAACACAAAGTACTGTGTATACAAAACACAAAATGCTGCCTGAAATAATTGCAACAAACTACAGTATTAAATACTGTTTGTTTTAGATTCTAAATCTTTCACAACAAATGTCAATCTCTATAATAGCATTTTACTCTTTCCTCTTAACTCAATAAAGTACTTATAATAATATACATATTCATAAGAAATGTATTTAGAATGCTTTGACAGAATTATTAGATTAGAACCAACATAAGGAGTTAGTAGGAATAGCATAAAGGCCTACAGTATAACTCATAGGATATGTTTCTGGTTTTTCATGCATAATTTTTTGGGCAGTATACAGTACTTTCACAAGCCAAAAAACCCAGAAAATCCAGCAGATATCTCAACATCCCAACATAAGCAATGAGACAACTCTATTTGTGTATAAACCTCACATAGGCCTAGATAACATTAATGTGTGTTCTTGTGGCCATTTTTTATAAGATATTTGTTTTAATGTTCTTGAAGTATTATATATGTAGTTAGTTTTGTTAAATTTTCAATATTTTTTAATGTCTTCTTTTTTTTTTATGTGGACTTTTTCTATTTTCAGTCTTTTTATTTCTGATTTTCTGAGTCTAACTGGGAGAGTCAACCACTATAAAGATTGTTGAAATCAATAAATAAGTAAATAAATAAATAGAATAAAACAAAATAACAGATATAAATGTTACAATTGAATTGAACTGAATACTTTTCTATGCAGTTAAAGTTAAGTGTTCCACATAGCAATAGGTGAATAGCCTGATTGATTTAATAGATATAGAGTCAGTTTCATTGAATAACCTTATCTCAACAGATGTTGACATTTATAATGTCCAAAATCACTTGCCTCCCTTATCAGTAAATCCTATGTCAGCTTTCTATATGCAAACTTTGATATGGATCTCAACACTATAAATGTTAAGCATACATGAATGTAGTTAAGGGTTGAGCTAGACCATGGCTATACCAAGGGAGAGCCAACATTGTAAGTCTATGGCTAGGAAATAGGTACAGTAGCTGGATTAAAGTTATAATCACACACAGAGACACTACAGTTTATTTAAATATTTTAAGAACCTGTGTTTTGTTTTGTTTTGTTTTTTTTTTCGCCAATTTCATGATCAAAATGTTTATTTTGTTCTTCCTTTACACACATTTCAAAGATATAAAATTAAAATTATATAGCAGTATAACTGTACTGTATTATACCTACTGCACCTAAGGTAGAGATAAGACCAAAATAATTTTACAGTATAACTTTTATAAACATTATAATGTAATACACTGTCTATACCTTGCTTGATTTATTTATTTATTTTTATTTTAGTCTTTTTATTAAAAACCTTTATTTAAAATTTTACCTCAATTTGTTCTTATTTTTTCAGCTTTGGTGTTCTTATAAAAATGTATTCTTAAAGTGTACCCCATGCAACCTCTCTGATAAACTAACTCAGAAAGTGATGCAAGATATCATGATTCATTCTAAATTTGTACAACACATTCTTCCAATCTTGGAACTAGAAGATATCTCAATATTATAGAAACTCTGACGATATATTGTCTATGCATACCTAATAAAATTTAATTGCTTTTTGCCCTGATAAAAAGTTGCTATAACTAAATTAAAATAAGAAATATTTTCCTTGTCAATTTATCAGATACATAAATTAAATACAGTTCATTTACTGTTTTCATGATGTCCTTTTTTTAGACTTTGCTATAGTTCTATGATTGCATACCATATACAGTACAGTGTATATTTCAAAGATATGGTCATTTTTGATGTTTTATTAACACTGTTTAGAGAATAACATTATACTGTAATTTTAAGCTAATGTTGTCCCAATAAGTACAATTTTGAAAATTGTTTTAACAATAACAATAAATTTTAATATGAATCCTTATTAAATTAAATTATATTATTATAGTTTAATTCTTTTATCATTATACATTTATATATTATTATCATAACCATTTGTTATCATAGTATACATTATATTTTTAATATCCTATTATCACAAATATAATTATATTACAAATGTATTTTTAATCAGTTGAATGAATAATTATTTGTTTTAATATATTTTTTAATTCGAAATCTAAATTGAAGTACAATGTTCATGGTTAACAAGGATGAAGACAAATTGTTGCATGTTAGAAAATGTTTTGTAAACTTGTTACAATTTATTGAATGATTTAATGAAGTCATTTTTCATCCAATTGTAAACTTAGTGTCATTAATAATGAATGAGAGAATCAATGTAAAATCATGACAGATAAAGTGATTAAAGAATTTTGAAGAACTAAATTAACTCACAGAGGGTGGTTTTCTACACACTAAAAAGGGCATTATGAAAGCAGTTCTTATAACAAGTGTAAAGATTAGTTGAGTAGATACCATTTAACCCTAAAAAAAGTTGAGATTATATAAGCATTTTATTCTAGGCCTACAAGTTTGAATACTAACATTTTATGACTAGCATTTAGGCTTACCACTACCAGCAGCTAAATAATACAGAACAACTATATTATTATTACTCACCCATAAATTGCATCTTTATCCCTTTTTTGAATGTCAGTAACTCCACTGGAGACTGGGTTTAGCATACTACTTGGGTGTGTAGGGGGGTAAAACTGTGAGGGTACCACAGGCCCATGATGGTTGAATTGGGGATGGACAGGCTGGCCGTACCCAGCTGTGTAGTGGGGCCTCGGCGCATCATACATCGAGCTGGATGTTGTGTCCATACTTCCATAGTGTGGGGGAATCGGATCTTCGTACTAAGAAAAAAAATCAAAACACCTTACCGTTTTATATGTAATATGCCAACATTTTCGTGGACGTTAGATACAATCGAAGTTAATGGAAATAATTTTCCATTCAGTCAACAAAGATCATTAAAGCGTAGATTTCCTCAATAGAAATGCCTACAAAAGATCGCTTCTTACCACCATGCTTAAGCGTTTAGCCCGTCCGCTGAGCAAAGATTTCCTATGTAAGATATGACGAGCTTGACTGAGTATCGCTAGGCCCCGTGCGACAAGTACTGTATACAACTAGTAGTAATCGAGGGATCAGAAAGTCAACGCCAACCGCATGTAGCAACTACACTTACCCTTTGAGCCATCAGGCTTGGCATTCACTTATTAAAATTGTTGTTGGTTTCAATCATGTAAAAGTGAACGTCTTTTGTTAACCAACTATTACACGGACGCGCGACGGTTCACAGCCGTTTGTATGTCATGCGTTTTGTGACAAGTCGTCAACAGACCCCCGTATAACGAACTGTCGGCGCTTGCGGCGGCCTGCCACTTCAACCGTCAATCATCCACGGTTACCATGGAGAATCTGATAGATGAGTTGTCACTGCTAAAATGTCAACTTTCGACTGGCTTATAATTTTCAATATCGTAACAAGCTTTTCGGTGATTTTGTAATAATTAGTCTACTTTATCGCTTGTCATTGGTCGTCTGGCGAAGGCTCATTATTCGATCTGATTGGTGTAGACATTTTGCACTCAAATCCGAAATAAACGTGAATTCTCGTGGTTTGTTTCTTTGTTATTCCTCATTCGATATCATAATACAATTATGTTGATGTTAATAAGAATTTTTCAACTACTTTGGTAAGAAATTATATAATCAATTTCTGGATTTATTTATTCAACAATATATTTAGAGGGCGGCTCTAACAGCAATCTGCTTTTAAGATTCTCATCAAAAATATTTATATTTGTTCCGCGTGCCATTAAAAAATATTTTTTTCTAAAATAAACAGTGAGGTATCGTGATAATATACCGCTTCCTCATGTGTTAATGTATACTGTAGGCCTAATATGACCTGATTATGTAAGTTTCATATTTACTGTAGTTAGAGAATGAATAGAATATTTATTGCTCAATAATTCGCGGTATTTTTTCTTTACATTGTACACATGTTTGTTATTGTCGACTTTATTTGAACGTTAGTTCTTAACTGAGAATGAGATAGCTCATTGATGTCATGCGGCATCACTGTCCGCCTGTCCTGAATCGGAGCTTTTGTTTCTTTAGCTTATCGATTACTCTTTCTCGGGCAGGCCGTGTATATGTTTGTAAGTTCTGCCTAGTGGGCATCGATCGATTCTCTGAGCAATCCAAGTAGCTTACAAGCCTTACAAATATCTCAAGTTCCCTTTACTAGTCAATACATGATCACGTTTCAGTGTAAAAAGTCAATTCTAACTACGGCCAGATTCTTCCTGCGAATTTCCGAACCGTTGCAAAACTCGTTGAATATTTTAATAATAGGCGGGCAATTGCATCGCGTGTAATGTGTATTCGATAATTCTGCCCTATCTCTAGTCTATTTTTTTAATCAAGTTCTAGTTTGCTTTGTAAACACAAATGCCGAGTTGTTTATTCTACTATCAATAGAGATCATGATAACACAGAAGCATCGTGTTTGGTTTGCTGTTATGACGAGACACGGAACCATAACGACATCAGACTTATGCACCGTTATAAAGAATTTTGAATAAAGATAACGTAAGACTTTAAACCTCTCATGACCAATGTAACTGAACACTTAAGTGGACTTGTTAACTTTATATTGAGTGGGCATATTTAGATACAGCTCTTTTTTTACAAGTTTGCGTTGAACTTAATCTGAATATTAAATAGAAAATTAGGCCTATCGGCTATTAATGAACTATGTTCTATGTATTACTGTATGTGCGAATGTCAAACCAACAAAGGCCTACACTAACAGACCTATAATGCTTTTGGAAAACAATTATTCTATCTAGGCCTATTTTGTAATTTTATCACATGGTTTCATTTTATTTTCTTTTTGTTATTTCTTACGTAATGATAAAAATACATTTAAAAATTAATGATAATGGTGATAATATTAATATTAATAATAATAATAATAACAATAAAAACAACTACAACGATAGAATAATAATAATAATAACAATAATACTAATAATAATAATATTAACAATAATAATAATTATTATTATAATAATTATAATTATTAATCATAATTAAAGTAAAATTTCCTACTAGTACATAGGCCTAGTAATAGTTTGTTAATATCAAATCATAATACATTAAAATGCTTAGACATAGGATTATGTCCGCTTTCCATTTAGTCGCAAATGTTACTGAGAACTAGAAATGCATGAAAGTTGAACGAATAAAAGAAGAATGAAAACGATTATACAGAGAATGAAAGTGAAAGTAAATGAAATAATTGAATGAAAGCAACGAGGATAAGCGGCAGAAATGCGGGGTTGGGTTTTCAAACTCAAAAGTAAATTTTCATCTTACGACCATTGAACCCCGGTTGAAGTGAACAGTAAGCCGAGTCGTACATCTCTTGCTGTGGATTTCATTTCCCGAGTTCATCGGTGCGGAAATTTCATCTTATGGTCACCCTTTCCGACATTTCAGCAAGCTCCTTGGACCGAACCCAGGGGGATTCGTCAAGCTTCTTGGGCCGACCCCTGGGGAATTCGATTCATCATTTGCATCTGTATGTCATAAAGTTTTTGATCCTAAGAGATTTGGAAGAAAATAATGAAGTTTTAGGTGGGTACTAACTTTGACTGTTGATTCATTCGCTATTCATTCGCTGTCTCTTTCAATATTGAGAACTCAAATACTTTGTTGGATAACATCGTACGCATCATACAAATGTCTTTGAATCCAAGGATATCGAATTTCTGTCACGAAAAACTACAATGTTTTAGATATCAAGAAAATACGTGAAGAATATTAAAACTCTTGATCAGGGTTCAGTTTACAGTGAAAGCGCTACTTAGTACTAATATTTCTGTCACTAACTGATTGAGTTACTATTTTATTTTGTAGATTCAGACTTCCGACAACGCAACGTTTTCAAACAAATAGAAGTATTCATCAATTATTGTCGCATTGTAAGAATCCCATTTTTCAAGGACTTTCAAGATTGTTAAATGTCCAAAAGAAATTTTAATCCATAAGAACAGAGTTAACATAACATCTATACCGGGGAAAAAAATAAAGCAATTATATTTTAAAAGAACGTTATTAAAAGTGATAATCGGAGAATACAGATTGAATTATTGATGAATATATTAATGGATGAATGAAGTAATGAATGAATGAATTAGTGGGTGGATGAATGAATAAAATATTGATAAAATACTCCGATGTTTCTTATTTGAAGTTGGTTGTTCTGAGTTACAAATGAGGGCGATATTGCATTTCAAACCTTAGCAGGATATATTTTATAGAGGGCGCTAAAAGTATTTATAAAATAAATTACGATGTTCTGTCAATTTACTGAAGAATTCGTATCTAGTAACTTTTAGGATTCTGCACAATTATCCGATTATTTAAATATAAATTTTGAAAGTTTATTTGTACTTATATACCTTTTCTCTTCTTATAATTGAAATTGTAGACTTTGACACGACTAGATCATCAGGAAATGGTTATTTTATTATCATGTAATTACGATAATCATCATCATCATCATCATCATCATCATTATCATCATATCATCATCATTATCATCNNCTCCCTGTCTCTTATACACATCTAGATGTGTATAAGAGACAGATATTACAGATTACATTAAAGGTTAAAATAATAAAATATAAAATATCGATATTGGGGAACATTTCTACTAAATTATTGTAACATTAACACGAGAATACTGAACTTAAAAAAATGATTAAGACGAAGCTTGCGCACAGGAACATGAAAATAAAAATTAGAAACAAGGTTACAATCAAACTTGAAGTTTAAACATTTAAAAAGAAAAATAAGATCATTTCTTTTGTTTACTTTTGCGTCTAGAAGTCGTTAGAAATTATTCACAGCTAAGCGAACCGGCTGCTGGGCCGATGAACTTCATGAATTTGTTGTGAATGCGGTCTATCCCTAGTAGCACGAGTTGGAGATATTGAGTTGTAGGTAACAGAACAAAAAATCAAGGGATGGAGCAATTGACGATATATAGAATAGAATTTTGCAGGAAATGAAAAAAGAAGTTTGCAATTTCTCCCCATCGGCCCAACCTGCCGGTTTGCTTATTTAAATCATCATTCTCAACATCGTCACCTCAACATCATCCTCAACATAATCATCCTCAACATCATCAGCAACAACAACACCACCATATCGTCATGATCATCGTCGTTGTCGTCTTCATAATCTTCTTCCTTTTCGTCGTCGTCATCATCGTTATCCTATTCCGCTTCTTCCTCCCCCTCCCCACCTAATCTTCATCGCCATCTTCATTAAAATTATCACTATCATCGTCTTACTCTTCATCGTCATCATCATCGGCTTCCCTCTTCGTCGTCGTGAACATCGTCGGCGTCGTTATTCGCACTAATATTTTCATTTATGTGCAGAATCAAATTTACTGCAATTTATTGTTAGGCCCTATTTCAATCATTTATATTAGCGTATTATCGGTATTATAGAAATGCAACAAAAACTGAATAGGTAAAATATATGAACTACAGACAACAAATTATGTATATAAATAGCGACTCTCGTCGCTAGGCGAAGGTACGTCAGGTACGAAGGTACGTTAAATAAGGTACGAAGGTACGTTTAATTTATTTAAAACAGACTGAAATATGCGGGCCATTATTCATTTTAGTTTAACATCGTAACCATGATGATAAAATAACAATTTCCTGATGGTCTAATCGTGTCGAAGTCTACAAAATCAATTATGAGAAGAGACAAAGTAAATAAGTACAAATAAACTTTTAAAATTTAAATTTTAAACAATCGGGTAATTGTACAGATGAGAGCAGCTAGCTCCGTCGTCTAAACTGGTGGTAGCCACTAGGCCTACTGGGTGTGCGCAGAACCGAACCGTGGAGATCCCTTGATCCCTGGGTTTCCCATCGCGGCTCTACTTTTATTTCAGCTGGAGGGCTGAAATGCCAGTTTCAAAAGCGCACGTCTTTCGGATGAGACGTTTAAGCCGTTGTTCTCTGTGCAAAATGTCCCATGTGCACGTTAAAAAACGCAATACTCTTCGGAAAAGAGTAGGGGTCTCCCGGTGTACTGCCCAATCACCAACAGAAGGACCCCACTGGAAAAGTCTTTTTGTAGACTTTTGTGGGTTATCCCGCAAGTTGGTGTTTTCACAAAATAAATCCATCAGTTTAATAATAGCCTTTTAAAAACAGATGTATTTTTGTAATTAATGTCTTTTATTCCAACATATCAGTGACTTTTAGGCCTATATTATTTTATTTTTGCAATAGGCTAAATAGCATTGTAAAAAAAAAATCAATTCTGTGTGCTGGACCGTGTTTATTCGAATAAACTTGAATAAACGCCCTATTTAGAACAGCATTTGGAATAAACTCCTTCCTCAAATTACAGTAATGTCGTTTTAAGTCTGGAACTTATAGTTTCATTGTGAACGCAACGCATGTTTTCAAATAAATTTGTTATTTTATTAAACTTCAGCTATAATTATTTGAATGGCGCCCTCATCGTCCGCTTAAGGAATATCTGTACTCTTTACAGATTTTTTTGGAATTAAAGAACCACATTCTTCTCACAGTTTTATGTTCTCAAACGGATCATAAAATAACCCCCACAGTGCCATTCTGTTATTTATATGCTCTTTATTGAATTTACCTTTCACAAAAGATCACCAAGGTAAAAAATTTAAGAATGTATTCTCAGTCTTTCTCTATTAAATCACAAACAATCAAAATGTTATCACAAACACATGAATACAAAAACATAGACATGAAAATGTTTTACAAAACAATTATCTATATTTCAAAATATTGGCATGTCATTCAGACATTCAACACATACAGTATGAATTATTTCAATTGTAAAGAAAATTTGAACTTTAATACAACTGGAAAAATTCATAAAATGAATGAAAAGACAAATAAACCTTATTAGATAAAACAATCTGTTTTTATTCTACAAATATTTCAGTAGATGTTATTCACAATAAATAAAACAAAATTTAAAACAAAAAACTAAGAAAACTATGAATGGAACAAAACTAAACTTTCAAGTTTATGTTGTGGACGGTTAAGGCACAAACTCAAGCAGTCATTGAACAGGCACGGATCCAGAGAATCTCTGACGGGGGGAGGGGGCCCCAAAATATGAAGTTCTCGCTGCTACGCCCAACTCAGCCCCACCATGGTTGGTGTAAATAAGTGGCAAATAATTGAGCTCTCCTTCCACCCTACTGCTGGATCGCCACCGAATCCATGGGTACACTCCTTTTTAACTCAAATTTTTCTCACGGCCCTCATGGCGACCCCCCCCCCCTTGCTGGATCCGCCACTGTTCAAAATTCTGTGTTCTTCCATTACATGGACCCTACATTTATCATCACCATTTTAGGTTGAATAAAATAGAACTTTGATTAAATTAAATACTATCCAATTAGAACAGGGGGAAATAATACATGTCTTATATGCACATGTTTAGGCTGGCTGTTGTTTTGTGGGGCCCTAGCAAACAATATTAAAAGAGGCAGGTTTTACGGGAACAGTTCATTATCAACTATGGCCATGTACAAAATGATTGATCATCCAATTACTGTATATTCACAGACTTTGAATATAAATAAGGGGATAAATCAACAACCCTTAAAACAAAATTAATTACCGTTAAATAAAAAGTTACAAGCCTAAACATGCCTGCTACTAAACACATTCCACTCAAACTTCTAAATACACCCTGTTAAAAACTACACTGTACTTGGTATCGTACCTTCTGTTTCTGAGAACTTAGAAATTAAATATGTATGGTTGTTACAAATATTCAAATACATTATACTGTACTATCACTTCATAAAAAAGTTCACTGTAATAATTGTCCTTTACATGGTATAAAACTACAAAACTCTATTAAACGTTACACATGTTAGTCACTACCCAGGGATGTGCACAAGCAGTTTTGTACAAAAAGGAAACTTTTGGAGGAAGGATAGAGGGAAGGGGACACTATAATATAATTTAATAAGTTATTTTTTCTTATAGATCCATGTTTTCCAGTATGCAATCCTCTATATTTTCCAGCTTAGTTTCTCCTTGGTTGAATAGGGGGATGGAGCTAATAGCACAATGCACTATGTGCATATCCCTGGCAAATGTTACATACCATATTCATGCTTAATATAAAATATACATAATATTATTATTATGGTTATTTGGTGAACTGGAATATTAAAATGAATTGTTGACATAGTGTATTTACATAATAATAGTAAAAAATATAATATATTAATATTTGCAAAAACAATAAATACATTTTTATACAACTCAACCCTCTAAATGGCCTAGCTTTAATTTTCCATCAATAATTTCCTCCACAGACACACTCATACTAGACAACATTTGACCTTTTGCATGCTGCAATGAGCATCATCAAATTTAAAACAGTTAAAAGCAGATTGCAAGTAACATGTCTCCAATGGTCTGAGCGTGCTGCAATTTCTGACCATTCAGAGATGTCATCAATAAACAAAATCTCAGCCACACCCATGACGGGGTTGAGTTGGATAACAACTCACACAACTCAAGCCTAAAAGAATTCACCACTTATCCTACCAATATAAAAAATGAATTGAAACCCTTCTATATTAACTCTATGACTAAAAGGAAGATAATAACAACCTTAAATATTCTTATACTTCTTACTGATGGAACTTAAAAAACTAATGGGTTGAAACCAAAATCACCTGATAAGCACCACCAACATCTATTTTTCTTTTTAAATTGACTGGAACAAGAAACACAGTTGCTACAGTGTTTTAACTGCAATCCTTAATACACACTGCGTACCTGTCCCCGACACAATCAGGAACGCTCCCTGATTCAACAGACCAATCAGCATCGCCAAAGGTGTCGGCAATAGTGTGTAAATATTTTTACGGAACCAGGCTTAAAAAAAACGACCTCATAATACTCATTCCCTAGCTGGCTCCGCTTCCTCATTTTGCTATCGCGCGATCCCCATATATCTATACTCCTAAATATGCCAATGGCACTTATGCTTTAAGTTATACGCACCTAGGCATTTTTGGTAAGCAAACGTGATTTAACATTTGGGAAATAAGTTTATATAATAAATAGTAAAGTAAACTTCGCCTGTTATTCATTCCACAGTAATTATTGATTTTAAAACAGTCCTTTTCAAGACAGGATAACCGTTTAATGGTTTTGGCACTAACAACATATTAATATTGTTTTAGTATAAAATCTTTGTATCTTTATCTAGCTGTAAAATTGTTCAATGCATCAAGTCATGGTTTAAAAAGTAAATTCTTCGACAAATAATCGGTAATAATCATTTTTTTCCCTCTCAAAAGATAGTTTCTTCAATTCTACTATCAAAAGATAATTCATAAGCACTGCACAAAATTTAACTCAGTATACCACATAGTAAAATTGTAAAGTGTCCATAAAATATAACAGCAGTAAAGTAATTCTAAAATGTGTCTTGTGTTAAGTAAGACAATAACTTCAACTGGAAGACAAAAATTGTTAAATTCTTGATAGCTGGCAATAACTGACAGAGGTATAAGCCCGCCATAAACCATGTAAATCGAGGGAAGCTCTTTAGATTCAACGACCGGTATTAATAATGTAAGCACACAGAGGCAGATTGTTGAAATACGCTATAGTACATTCTATCATAATGGTTAGGGTTAGGAAGTGGACCTGGGGACTAAAACGTTTAAGAACTTTTCTATTGCATGTACTTGACGTTCATATTAAATTAAGTGATTAAAATATAAAGAATTTCTTTCAACTACATTCCTGAGTGTATACTCTGTATACTCAAGGTAAGTGTCCAGGGGGTAGGGTGCATTTTTAAGATGGTCGAGAATGTCTCCAGTCAATAGGAGGGAACATTGCATTTTCATATCATCAAAATTAATGAAAATATTATAGAAGTCCTACACTGTCATAGAGTACAAAGCTTCAATTGATTATAAAGCTGTCAGAACTCCTAAAATACTGAAGCTGCAATCCAACCGCCTCTGAACTTTGACCGTGTCAGTGATTCTAGGTGATCCCATACCACAGTTGTTCATATTTGCACACTCCCACACCCCCTATGGCATTCCTGGATACAGTCCTGATACAGTACAACATATTTTTCCGATGGGACTTAATCCCAAGCCAGCTTACAAAAAATTTATATAAGGATAGTGCACAATATACTTTTTTTAAAATACATTATTTAACTATATTGTTATATAAACAATTTAAAAAAAAACATGGATACATATTTTTGGCAAACTGTTAGCATTTTAAAATTTTGTTAAATGAACTCAAAAATATTTTTTTTAAAAAACCATATTCTGGTTGAATCTACATAAAAGTACAGTAGTAAAAACAAAGTTAGAAAAATACAATAAATAGAAAATAAAAATAAAATCAGAAAAAGCATTAATTTGATATTCAAAAGCATCCTACAGTTGTCTTGAGTTTTTCGGTGCATTGACAAAACAAATGACGAATTGATGACCTTTGACCAGCGTTTCTCATCAATCCCTTCTCACACCTCCATGGTTCAGTACAACATTGGAAAGAGACGAGCCTCCTATCACACACAGTTCTGTCTCCTAGTTGATGGACGTTTTAACGGTGATGTTAAGGATGACTTCAAAAGGACGAAATTCAATTGTACGATGAAGTACTGGAAAGAGATAAACGGAAGCTGGACACACTCTCCGTGTCATCCTCTTCCATGTCCACTTCCGCTGACAACATGCTCTTGTATTCCTGGATGGATTCATGTAAGGACCACAGTTGGCACAAAAGAGACATGTCTAGTTGCCGCAGACCAACCTGTAATTATATACAAATCAAATAAAAGTTACTTCCTGATGGTTTTGCATAACAAATTTCAATAACAAAAGCATGTAATTTACTCTACTGTTACCGTAATTCCTCGGGTGAGCTCACTCTCCTTAAACATGAAATTAGGCTGAGTTCAGTGGGTGGACTTACACCCAGGAAATCCTTGTTCATCTTTAGAATATCAAATTACTAGGGATGTCCTATCGAAAGGCAGACTGTCGATGCAACATGGACTGTCCAATAGGCAATCTGTATATAGTGTATAAGAGACAGGGCCTATATTTTTTAAAACAAAGAATAAAGTAATCTGCCATTAACAAAACATTGTAATATTATATAATATCTTTTTTCAGTTAATGCATCTTGATTACGATTAATATCAGGATCAACGTTTTCAGTTCCTTTGAGTTCCGAATCAACATTTTTTTCGCGCTTTTTTCAGTTCCTTTCAGTTCCGCAAAAAGTTGAACATGGGCAACTGAAAGGAACTCAACTCAACTCAACTCAACTTGACTCGTGTCGACAAATATGCGCGACTGTCAGTTCCTTTCAGTTGCGGTCAGTTCCGTTCAGTTCCGGTCAGTTCCTTTCAGTTGCGCGGAGCGCTCATGTCGACGAGTTGAGTTGAGTTGAGTTGAGTTCCGTGTCGACCTGAGCCTGCCTTAAGAGTCAGCTGAGGTACTGATTCAAATCATAACCCGAGCTTATACCCAAGGAAGCACTGGTACATGAATTAGGGTGTAAAGAAGGGGATGGGCTTATACTCAAGGTGGGCTTATAGACGAATCCAAGAAGAATGGCGCCCTCTTTTGTCGACGCCATTAGTGGGGAGTCCCTACTACTAAAATGTTAATGCGGTGTGGTTATAAACACAGTACCATTGAGAAATTCGGCTTTTTATTTTGCAGCTGAATAATGCCATCAGTCTTCAAACTAAAAATTGAACAACGTTATGTATATTTTGTGTAGACATCTTCCAACTTCGAAAATGCTACCCCATTAATGGCATCGACAAAAGAGGGCGATGTTCAAAAAATTCTCTTGGATTAGTCTATACCTGGTAAGCTTGGTAATATTTTCATACAAGATTACAGTATTTTGTATCTATTTACATAAAGTAGTTATTATTAAATTTAAGTATTATAAATACTTTACTAACAACAGAAGACTAGTATTAGATAAGGAGGAAACAGAAACCAAAGCTAATGTTTAGAAGAAAATGGAGAAGGCAAAGGCTACGACCAAATAAGGAGATGATATTGAAGAACAACATTGTGTGTCCATCACAAGATGGCAGAAATATCTAACTGACACCTTAATAATACATTATAATAGTGGGATGGCTTTATGCTGATAATTGGGTTCAAACAATATGCAATGGACGGACAAGTTAATTGGGTTCATTACAAAATTTGCAATCTGCTCATTTGCATACATGAATGGTCAAATTGATCTTGTGTTCAATTGAAATGCGTTCAAATTAAACACCATTTGGAAATGGGACAGCTATCTCAACACAATCATCATGTAAGAATATTGGGAAATTGATCTCCAAATCATGAGATTTACATGAATTTACCATTACCTCTGAGGTTAGATATATTTTCAAAATGTTCCAATAAAAATAAATAAACTAAAGATTGTTTGAATAGAATGTTCTTATCCAATTCAAGGATGCAATTAAATGATGCAAAAAATCCAAACATTATAATATGTATTATCGTCAGATTATGTCTTATACTTTTTATACTCTATATTCTAATACAGTATTTCCCCATGAGAGAGTAAATTAATACTTGGGGGTATTACCATGCCAAAACCAGTTTGATAATTTCCACTCTACTGCCCCTTGCTATCAATTCAGTATGAATTTTGAATTTATACTGACTGGAGTCTTAAGCAATCCTTGGGGTTTCTAACATTTTAATTATTGATCACTGTTTCACTTTACACCACATTCACTGAAAAAAAAAATGAACATTCATTTGTTCAATGAAAGTATAGAACTTAGAAGGGCCCAACATTCATATTTTGCTGAAATCTTCTTTTTTTCTGATATTTTGATTTATGAATGTAAACAGATATGAAAAATAGTTCAATTTTTATGACTTATGATGTATGTGCCAAGTTTAATCCAACTCTGAATTTCCATTGCGAATATGGGCCGTCCATACATCAAGCAAGTTTAATTTTCTGTGTGAATTTTCAAATGTTTAATTTTCTTAGTTGCTCAACCAATCAAGCAATCAAATGATGATTTTTGTATGATTCAATAAGTGTAATGATTGAAAAACATCATGGCAGCCGGAGAAAATTTAACAACATGTGCATTTAATTAATATTTAGCAGGCCCGTAAGCAGGATTTTCGATGGGGAGGTGCATTTTGCAACCGAAGTGGACCTTACGATGGGCGACTGCCTAGGGATCCCCGTGAGGGTGAGGCGAATCTTCTGGAAGCTCTGACAAATTAGCATTTTGAGGGCCTTTTTAGGTGGATTTCTAAAATCCATGATTTGTAATGTCCTATTTAAATTTTCGTTCATTTGAGTATTGTCTAGGGACCTACAGTAAAGCAGGAGAAATAGAGGGTGGGGTGAAGGGAGAAACTTGCACAGACAGATGGTCAATACCACCTCAGCCCCACCATGGTTGGGGCTAAGGTATGAAAATTTATGATTATGGCACCTCAAAGTGGCCGGAAATGGCACTCTCAGACAAACTTTAATTATGATTTTTCTTTTTTCTCCATTTCTTTTATAATTTTCCCCACTTGAATCCATCGCTGTGAAATTATATTTTTTCATGTCCTTTACATCTGAAGGCCTACTGTCACTGGAGCTGATAATTTCCAACAGATTTCGTAGCACATTATTAAAAATCAACGGGTAGAAGAGCAGGCAAAAAAAATGTAATGATACCGTACTATGAGCTAGCATTTCGCGATAATTAGGAACGATTTTAGTGAAATAATAGGTTTTAAAAAGTGGACTTTTTGAAATTTGGTGGTCCAGGGGTAAAGGCCTGGAGGCGGTTTGTGAGAAAAGCGACAAAGTAGCATTTTGAGGGTCTTACATAATAGATTTCCCCCTGCCCACGGGTGTTTAGTAAGTAATACTTGTGATTATTTTAATAAACCACCAGAGTGTCAGTTTGTACTAAGACTACAGTCCAAATGGTTACAATTGAAGTAATGCCAATGATGATTTAGTGGCAATAATTTCTATTTTTTACAGGGAATAAAAACAGATTTCCACTTGGTTCGCAGAAGTTCATCACCTTCACTCAGTGCAGTACACGATTCCTCTACCTTGATTCGTTGTTGATGTGGGAAGCAATTATAGGCCTAGGCTAGAATTTATAATCATCTTGAATTTGAATATAAACTCCTCTTCAATCATAACTTTTACAACCAAGTATTTCTGCTACCTAAATAGAACAAAACAAACACGGGCTAGCCTTCGACACGTCGCACGTTTATTTCTAGGCCCACGCATCCAAAGAAATATACGGTTATACATACCATTTCCTTTCGAAGGAGTGCCAAACCAGCGTCAAGGTTTCCGGGAGGTATGCTAGTCAGTTGAGTTTTCTTGCGCCTAGCTTCTGCCACTAAATTGTGTTGTATGTTGGCTTTGTGTGCATGTATACGACCAGTTTCACGCCATGTACCACTGTTCACATTCAATAATCCACTAAGACTCTTTGGAAGTTCAGGAAGACCCGGTAAATCTTTTAATGACACAGCCCTTTCTTCTTTGTTGTCCATTGTTCCAAATGTCTACCCCAGTGCCCAAAAATAAATAACGCACGCACAAATGAAACCGGCCTAGTGGTAGTGAGTCCGGTACCACAAGTACTATTTTACTCCAGTTTGGGTCATTAACTCTTGCTTCTGTTCTTTATTTTTTTTTTCCATATTCGTTTTGTTTTTTCTCTCCAGGTTGGATTTGGTGCGAAGCTTAGTATAAATAAAGGGTCTGTGTGTTCCTCCTTGTCTCTTTTTATTATTTTCTCTGTCGTCCAGTTTGTTTTCTTGTTAAAGAGATTTGGCAGGAATTTAATAGATGATTCATTCAACAATACATCGTATGTCGGATGTTTTTCAAATTTTAATAGGTCTATTTATGTTTGTGTGTATTATGACAATAAGGCCTACCAAATAAATATAATAATAATTTAAAAAATAGAAATGGTATTATTTAAACGTCCAAGATGACTTTTTCTCTTTTTCATTCTTCGATTCTTCGACTGTAAACAGTTTATTCGTTTTCTTTCAAATTTATGTTTGATTGAGGTGGTAAAATTATATTATGAAGAATCAAGAATACTTATTTTCATCGGTCAACATAAGCCTAATATGTAAACAATCACATTAATTTTGTTTTGCCTGTTGCTAAAAACACACTAACTAAAATACGACACACAAAACACACATTAATACTAATGATCGTAATTATTAACAACAATGACAACATCAATCATAATAAGATAATAATGACGCTTTAAATTTAGTGTATCAAGGTTGTGCAATATTTACACCACCGGTAGTCCATTCCATATTTATTATCAATTACAATGAATGAATTTAACAGTTAAAACGGAACATTTATTGTCATTTTATATCTTCACTATAGATTTTCGAATAGTATAGAAATATTATTTATCGAATTTGTAGGCACATGTAGTTAAGTCATCATAAAATAATATGTTTCTTGTTTTATTATCATGTTGCCTTTTAAGAATCGATGCACGTCCTCACATCGTGGATTTTAGATCTGCTGCCCTCTGTCGTTCGAATAATATTGTAGGACAATTTTCTGCCAGTCGTTTAATTACATTATATAATGAATTATGTAATACGTATGATCGAAGCCATGGCCTATATGACTTATGAACTTTTTAAGCTAAAGCCTACAAAAGTTTTATTATGTATGATGGCGTATAAATTAATAAAATGTGGGCCTATACCGAAATGCTCTATGATTTCCATTGATAATAAAATAGTTTATTAAATTATTTAATTAATATAATACTACTGTCTAAATCTATTATGTTTTATGTATATTATATAGGCTTCTTCTTCTTCTTATTATTATTATTATTATTATTATTATTATTATTATTATTATTATTATTATTATTATTATTATTATTATTATTATTCACATTTTTTATTTATTATTTTTATTTATTTATTTATTCTATCTCTTGTTTCTATTTTTATATTATCAGACAATAGTATTATTAGGCCTACCACTTTTATTTGTACATGTTAACACTCCTCAATTGTACTGTAATTTATTTATTTTTTATTTTTTTCATTTTAAGGCACTTCGTTTCAAAGCTAATGCTTTCAGTGGTGACCCTTTTCTAAATTATAAATCATCTCATTTTATTGCTTATATGTTATGAAAATAAAGTTTATGGAATTGAAATAATATAATTTCCAATTTATTCTGAATATAGTTCAGTTTGTAAATTAGCAAGCTTAATCGGTGGGTGATACAATTTATTAAATAGGGCCTAAGAATTGATTGACTGGCAAATAAAATACAAGAAGAAAAACCTTTTTAAGCTTATGATAATACGAGTAGGCCTATAAAAGAGGATAGGACATGAGTGTTAGAGTAACCCACTAAGTCCGAAGACTTGTTTCCAATGGTGTTCTTCTGGTGGAGAATTGGTGGAGAGTACACCTGGAGACAGTCCCCCTACACATTTCCGAAAAGTGTACTGGTTCTTTAACGTGCACATGGGCCTGTCTTGTCAAAAAAGCAGGCTGCACCTAAAGCAGTTGTTAAGCTTATCAGATGTACCTGTTCAATAAGTATGTTCAAATAATACATGCAGGTTTAGGAGAAATAATCTTCAGTGTACTGAGATGTGTAACTGCGAAGCGGAAGGGAGTTCCTGTAATAACTTTTCATTGTTGTCGAGTGTTTCTGATTCATCAGACAGTGACAGTGCAGGGCCGGCGGAACGTTTTTCAAAGTGGGGGGGGGGGCCCACTTATAAGCAGGCGTGTAACAGACTGGGTGATACCCCCCCCCCACCCACCATATAGAAAACAATACAACATAGGGCTTATTTTATTATTAATATAGGCCACACACGTGTGTTTGAAACTAAATATAAGCATTTTCATCG